TTATTTTATTTTATCTTTCATTGACTTCTTTCTTGAGAAACCATCCTACTGTTTTTTTTTCACAAAGAAGCAGGCTGTGCCTATGGAAAGATGGTTGCTTAAACACTCACCGACTTACTGAGCTCTCATAAGGTTCTTCATCTTCCTGAGGCCTTTCTGAGGCAGTTTTGACAGATGTGAGCTATTGCGTTCCTGCAGAGAAGTGTTACCGCAGGAAACTAATGGTGATCATTTTCACATCAGTTGATTGTTTCACAGGCGACTATTTAAGTGGAGACATCTGGCTAATTTCTTATTCTAAATTTCACAAAGTTCAAATAGAATGATCTGGGGAAACATTGTTAAAGTGTTGAGCATTTTTGAAGTTTTATTAAAAAGTTGGGGTTTTATTCTTATTCTAAGATTTTGTGAGAGGGAAGAATAAGAAGTAGGTTGAAGGGGTTGAAAGTGTGATGAACAGTGAAAATATGGAGGAGTGAGTTCTCGAGACAATGATGTGACAGCTTTTGGGGAGCAAATGGATGTTAAATATAAACTGTGTGAAACAATTACCATTTAATTAGAAAAATGATGAAGGCTGACACAGGATGTGAAAACTGTGCTTCCTTTAGTTAGAAAAGCTCTTTGATTCTCAAGGAGCTTAATGCAGAGTATGCCAGGAGGCTTTCAGTTAGGTGGTATTAGATTCAAAGATCCTTCTTAAGTTGAAACTGTGGTAAGAAATACTGAGTGAGTTCACCCACAGACCTGCTGCTCCTTTTAGGAAAGTTCTGGCCTGCTTGGTGCTCCTCATGCATGGGAAATGGTATCTTGTTGCCACAGCGTTGTCCTGGGGTAAAGACATTCTCCTGGGTAGGCCCTTACTAGCATTTGTGTTAGCATGAACTACAGCTGCACACCTTTTCCCAAATAAAAGACAATTCAGCTCTGCCATCTCCATTTCTGATCTCCCTGTGCTACCTTATTTCTTCTAATCTGTTTCCCAATCATGAGTATTCTTTTTGTCTCACCACATTGTAAGCAATCTGTCTCATTTCTACCTCAAATATACCTGCTGGCTCTCAGGTATCTTGCCATGTCAGTTTAAAATTCTGTATCCACTGTGTCACTGTGTTTCCTCCTCTTTCTCTACCTGCGACTTTTGTCCTTTCATTCCTG